TTTTTTTTTACAATCATTACTTTTCACATATACAACTATACAACAYACAAAAATTAATTACAACTACGTAAACTTCTCTTTATTCTTTGGCCAAATGTCTTCTTCTCATAATTCCCTTTGCCTTCTGATGGGCTGTCAGTCATAAAAAAAACATAAAATAATGCACTGCCGAAAGGCTAATGCTAAGCGAACTATATATCGGAGATTTGTCTATGGTATTAGTCCTGGACTAAATTGAAATAGAATCATGAGTATGTCAAGAGACATGACTAAGAATGTAATTTTAAGAAGGCAATTCATGTTCTCGTGTGCTTAATTTGTAAACAGAGCTAAGGGAACCTTGTATGGCATAATATCGTCGATGTTTATTCTACCTCTAGGACAGATCATATATGTTTTAGCGCGAATTAGCTTCTAAACGATTCGGCATTGGATCTCTAGAGATTTGAAAGCTGTTTATTTTGTGATCGGACCTCTTAGTAATGTTCATATCAAATGTGACGATGTCCATGTTTTGTTTTYCCTACTTCCTTTCGCCCCATCATTCTATATATAAATTCTTTCCGTTCTTTACTTTGGTCTTCGCTTCGTCGTTGTGTTCACTTTCCGTCCTTTTCGGGCGACTTTGAAAGAGTAAACATTAATATAATGAATTACCTTACGCCGACAATTATAATAATGATGATTATTTTCTATTTCGCTTCATTTCCTTCAGTTCAAAGTGATACAGTCATTCCAATTCTGACCGCCGACATGCGTCTTGTTATCAGGTGCATCATGGGTAATTTAAGCGCATTTTGCGTTTTTCTTGTTGAATAACCATGCAAATCGATCGAACTGCTTGACTCTTTTCTTATTTAAGCTATTTCAAACATTGTGTGTAGATAAATGGCAAATTAATGGCTTAGTTTGGAATTATAAACTACTCTGTATAGTGATATGTTTATGTTTGYGTAGACGCCTTCCGCTAGTGGGCTTGAAAAAGACAACAATATTCATAACARTACCGTAAATCGGCTTGTCTTGTCTCTGTCCCYTGATATAACTACGGTAGAAGCGAGAAATTAGATCAAAGGTCAAAGGAATCCGCGGCCATTTAAGATTCACGTCTATTGGGCACGGCAATTTGGCTTTTTTTAATCTTTCTTTTGACAATTTCAAACWTAGGTAAAAGCGCTTTCAGGAGTAGTAATGCACTAATGCACAAAAACAATCTGATTCGTATACAAACGTGAAAGGACGGAGCTTTAACCCTGAGTGATCACGTGATTAGTTTTGACTTTAGTAGTAAATTACGTGAGTCTAAAAATCTCTAATACGCTTTGAAAGGACTTRTAGTGCACTGATGCTCATACAGCAATCTAATTCGTGTGTACAAACGTGAAAGAACGGAGCTTTAATCCTAAGAARCAGTGATCACGTGATTAGCTTTGACGTTCGCAGTAAACGTAAATCTAAAAGTCTTTAATAATAGTATAACGTACATCTGTAACCCGGCACTGCACAACGTGAGTATTTAACTCAAAACAACAGGTGTTCACTATTACTTATACTTAGGTCACACCCTTGAGCTTTGAGACTAAGTGCCTTGGAAAATATAAGTAGAACTCAGGATAATGACCTTAATTCCAAGCACCATTCCCTTCTTAATGTCTTCCACCCTCGCCAATTCTTACCGATAATCCTGGTTTCCTACTTCCGTCTTTTTTTATTCGTCTTTATCAGTATGATGGGTTTAATGAYCTCACTGAAATTCGTCCAGTAATGATTGCTACAACAATAGTGTTCAACTATCTAAGTTTCACACATATA